TCTACGTCATTGCTGTGCGCTTGTCCGTAAAGCACACCCAGGGTCGTAAAGCATAGCGCCACCAGCTAACCTCTGATTGGCTCCTTGTCACGAGACAGGCATCTGACTTTAGTGACTAGGTCAAGGTCATAGAAGCACATGTTCGACCATTATGGCTGCCAAAAGGGAAGCCGGTTCCTTCAGTCTCTGTACCTGTAATGTAACTTTATACTTATCTAACTCTATATCCAACTTAAACTGTTCTAAGTCTCATATTTTTAAATTGCTATGTATCTTTAAATGATGGTAAACTTTTAAAGTCATAAAGGTCTAATTTAACTATATTTAAAATATAAGCTAAGTCTATACAACTTAAATTTAACTCATGTATCTTTAAATGATGATGAAAGTTTAAAATCACAAAGGTCTATTTCAAATTAACAATTTATACCACTCAGTTCATCCTGTAAGCTGTTTACAAAGGTACAGCTTTTTATTACAAAAAAGGCATTTTTCTCTAACTAGAGGCAAACTTTTGATTGCTGAGATACTAAACAGACAGACAGCCCTCAAATTCTCAGAGATCTAGAGAACATGGCATTTAAAATGTCTTATTAAAAAGCTTTTCTTAACAGAGAGACAGGCCAGCTGCTGGCCTCACCCCATTTCCTCCAAGAAGACTGATGAGCACTAAAGAAACTTCATCTCGAGTCAGTGACAATGCTAGTCACTGAGGAACCCTGCCCTTCACCTCAACTGCTACAAAGTACTCCAGACCATGGACAAGAGGACAGTGGAATCGACTTTCCCCGAGTTGCTTGAGCCAACAGTAAGGAGCCTTCCTGTAGTCCATAATCCACAGGTCACATGCTATCAGCAGGAAGGCTCGTGTCCTGCAGCCTGCTACTATGGATGGAGGACCTTGAGGGTAGCTGTCCATACAGCCTGCTGGCAAGTCTCTGTTATTCTTTAATCATTAATTCAGGTAAAATCTTATCCTTCTCAAGAACTCTGATGCTTTTGATGACTGGTAGTCTTGCCAGCTTAAAGCAAAAACAGATTCCAGGAACAGGTATTTCAGGGTTTATCTATGTGAAGATAGGAAAGTGTAAGATGTATAAAAGTCTGGGAATGTAAGGTATAAAGGTCTGAGGATGGAAGGTCTAATATGGTAATGTAAAGTGTATGAATTGAAGTTATGAAGGTCTGAGGATAAAAAGGCTTAAGTGATGATAAAGTGAGTTGACACATTAAAAAGAATGAAATATGTTCCTGATTTCTCTATTTCTCATGCTACTATAAAGCTTCATAGTAAAGTTCTATAATACCACTATAGGATCAGAACTACAAGGTCAAGACTAAGATGTTTTCATTGTCCTAAAAAAAAAATCTGTCAATTTTAAAATGTTAATGCTTTCAGCCAAGTTGCTTCTAACAAAATATGTTGCTAATGTGTCTAATACTTGTTTCCACAAGCTCTAAGGATTCTTGTAAGTTCCAGGGAGCTTAATTGGATCCAAACAAACAGGTCAGATTCACTCCAGTTATTCAATCTTTCCCTGGTCCCAGGACTCCCTTCCCTCATGTTGAGACTCCTCGGGAACTCCTCCTTCATCTTATAATCTCCCCCTCAAGTGACAGGACCTAAGAAAATTTTTTTCTGAACTTAACCTTGTTCTCTGCTCTGCCAACATCTTGTCAGGTCTAAGAGGCGCCAGAGAGTTCCATATAGCCTGGACTGTGATGAAACAACCAGGTGCCCCAGATGTGGCAGCACCCCAACCTTCTCAGGTCCCCCAAAGATGGTCAACACCCCCCATGTCAGCAGGAAGCAGTCTTGAGAATTTGACACCCTTATTCCTTTATCTGCCATGTCTAACACCCTACCTTTTTTAAAATAATAAGTAAAGGTGGGATTGAAAGGTTCAGGCATTATGCTGGCCTGCCCCTGTTACCTGGTGGAACAGACAGTACCCTGGTCAGCCCAGGGTTCCATGGGAACTAAGTCTGCACTCAGGTGCAGAGGACCCCTGTTATGATAAATCTTTCTGCCAAAAGCCAACTGAGCCCCACCACTGCTCCGATGCCTCTCAGTGGCCTGACAGGGCAGGCTGTGGCAGCAGGTTTCCCACTTTGTCTGTGAACCTTGGGGCGTGGGGGTTATCCCGCTCATTGACACCATTCTGTTACGATAAATCTTTCTGCCAAAAGCTGCCTGAGCCCCACCACCACGTGTGAGCTTTACACCAGCCGCCCACCTGAGTTAGGGCCCAAATGAATACACAGAAACTTGTATTAGGTACAATGCTGCTTGGCCAATGACTAGGATTCTCATCTGTTAGCTCAGTCTTAACTATCATATATCTATATATTTTATAAGACTTATCTTATCGGACGCCTTATTGGCGTCCCTCCTTCCTTGATGGTGGATCACATTGTGCCGCTGGAGCAGGAGCGGAGGGGAAAAGAGGACCCTTCCTGTTTCTCTTTCGCTTAAATATAAGTCTCCTTGCTATGTCACTTCCTGCAGATCACCACTTCTCTACTACACTTCCCAGAATCCTCTTTGACTCCTAGTCCTGCCTAACTTGCCGTTTCATTGGCCAAGCAGAACTTTACTAAACAATCAATAAGATAAACATAAACAGAAGTACTTCCCCCATCAGACCTCTTTAAAAGACAGATCCCTGCCCATTTATGCTTCCTCTACTCTCTCTCTCTCTATTCTCACTCTATTCTTCTCTCTACCCTTCTCCTCTGTCTGCTTCTCTTTTCTCTCACTATGGCGACTGGCCATGGCAGTCAGCCATTTACCCTGTTTCTCTTCTCTCTTAGTCTCCCTACTCTGCCGGGCCTATAATAAACTGGTTAATATGTCTAATATGTCTCATCCTATGTCTCATCTTGCGCCTTCCCCTTCTTCTTCTTCTTCTTCTTCTTCTTCTTCTTCTTCTTCTTTATTTTTAATTTAAACAAAAGAATAACTATAGTGGGAAATTACCAATACGAAGTCAGGTAGAAATACAAGGGTATTTAATAGGGAAAAGCCTTACTTACAGAGCGACCTAGCCAGCCGGCGTGGCAGCAGTCTGTATGCAAGCCCAAAAGA